CTTAGCGATGTTATATAAAGGCTTAGGATTAGGAGAGATAGCAAAAAAGTCTTACTAAAAAATAAAAAAAAATGGTAAGTTATTCTGGGGAGCCATTATCGCCCACGTCCTGAAATGACACATCATATATATTCCAAGCGTTTGTCTCCCACAAATGAAAGTGTTTTATTGTTGGCGGTTGACTAACGAACAATCTTCTCAGGCGTTCACCACCATGTTCAGATTCGTTGCTCGTGTTTTCAAAGCTGGGAGCGAGATATCAATTTTTCTTCATACATTTAATTCATTTTATCCCTCGACTATTTTTGTAGCAAAGATACAGATACTGCAGCTCTAATGGGCACGACCTTCATAGTCATGTTAATTACTTGTATCAACTCATGACCAAGTTACTTGTACCATTTTCCTCTCATGCCATATGTGTCTGTTCGTTCCACTTGAAGATTGAGAGATTAAAAATAAATCTGTTAGATCTTCCTGAAAACTCTTGTCAGTTCCATCATTTCTTTGGTTTAGCTGGTCTCAAACCTTCTTTGGATCTCACATAAAGTGCTTAGAAAAGTTTTTTTTTCCAGTGCGCCAATTATTATATTCCTATCACTAATATTGAATCTTCCCCATTTTCTTTTGTTGTTAGCGCCAGTGAATAAATCTTTAACAAACTTATTTCTATTCTCCCCAAACTTAGACGGAATGTGCTATGAACCGGCTACAGTCCTTCTGATATTTTTTTTCTGTTTTTATCTCAATGTCTCTTATATGCTTTATTACTTATGTGGTCCTGGTATAGCACATAATGCGAAATCATGAACAACGATAACTATCAATTGCGGTCGGCCTACGACTGTGTCGATTTGTTATTATTATTATTATTATTATTATTATTATTATTATTATTTTGATTTCTGATACGTACTGATATGTACTCATTTCTTTCCGGGTTCAAACTACCGTTAGAAATGGCACCATGACATTTTCCACTGAAAAAAACACACACATTTTATATAGACAAAGTCCTTCGTAAGGTGTGGGCTGAACTCGTGAGAACATTTTTTTTGTATTTCTTTAAGGCAAGGGCTTTCCAAGAATCCCTTCAATTAGTCTACTGGAATCTTTTCCAACCAATCCGAAGGCTGCAACTAAATGGGGGATTGTTGATGTTCCCATGTGCCACATTTTTGAGATTTAGATTTCAAGGTCCTTGTATTTTGATAGCTTTTTGAAGATCTTCAAAGATACATTGCAGCCCACACTGACTGCCATATCAATGAGGAGGCATTTTTTTTTTGTTTGCGGTCTCTAATAACAATGTCTGGGCGGTTAGCTTTGATTGTTCTGTCTGTGTGTATTGTGTAGTCCCATAAAATTATAACAGGTCCTATCTCTGTAACCGGGTCTGGGTGGTGTTCATACCACTTTCTTTCAGTTACCTTCCCGTGGAAGTTTCAGATTTTCCAGTGCCGATATTGGTTAACCTCATCTTCTGTTATATTATTTATTTCTACTCTCATTATTGTTTGTCATGCCAGGTTTTATATTCAGTGGGTGCCAATACCGTGCAACCTGATACAAGATGTTCGATTGTTTCTGGATAATTATCACAGAACCTGCATTTTGGGCCAAAACTATATTTTAGTATGTGTGCTTGATAATTTCTAGTTAACAAGCACTGATCCTGTGCAGCAAGAATAAAACCTTCCTTTTCAGCTTTTAACCCCGCACTCCATAGCCACTGATGGGTACGGGGCTTGTCTACATCAGCATTTATGGTACGGTTTATCTTGCCATTGTTTCTGTATTTGGTCGGTTGCATTGGTTTTTGCTTTTATTTTTATGTATTTTGCAGCTTCAATCGGTGTATTGTGTTTTATTTGTATTTCTGCATCCATTTGAAATTATTATTATTATTATTATTATTATTATTATTATTATTATTATTATTCAAAACAGCGTGACCATTTAATGTTTTAGATCTACAGTTGAATTTTCCGTCCTTCATCATTTATCGACCTGTAAAGATTTGATTATGTCAGTGAAATGATAACATTATATATCATTATATATTCAAGCGAAATTATAACTTTATATATTCAATGTGAAAGCTCATCATTTACTCTTGACCAGTGTTTGGTGCGGCTCCAAGAAACTCTCTTTTCTAATATGCGGTCCTTTTATTCTCGTCTCACTACATCAAAAAAACTGCCCATCTCCACTCTCTGATGGTTGTTTATATAACTTCGTGTATCACTCCAAGCCGTAAAAATATGATTCCATTGGCAAATGTCAAAAGTTACTTGAACTTCATACGAAAAGAATTCAACGATTTCAACAAGAACGCATTCTGCTATAAGTTATGAAGTGCCGACAGAAAAAATTCTTGAGCCACATAATTCAAAAACAAGAAGTTGAATATCTGTGTCTGGGAGGAAGATTCCGTGCTTCAAAAGCCAGATGAATATAGCGAACCCTATTTTCCCTTCTGTTCAAACTTAGACAACTCTGGGAAATGTTACGACGCCGTGAATATCTCTGATTTTGGACCATTCAACTATGGATGTATCACCCATGGCAATTTATGCGTGTATATCATAAAAAATAAATAATAAAATCATTGAAAAATTGGATATAGGTGCTTCTCTGCCCGGTGTTGTTACATATGAATAGAAAAGGTGAACACATAGTAAATTAGGCAAAAAATGCATTTATACTTCTACATCTGGATTTTTTCATTGATAGGCCGTATTTGATTCGCCATTTCTTGTTAATATTTATATCATATATTTTTACTAAAACTTCTGACCATGTTAAATTCCATTATTATAATAATTAGTTGGTTTGTTGATTTTTTATCAACGGTTGCTGAGTTATTTAATGTGGAATTTTCTTTGGCTTATCTGCTAACGATCGAACACACTACCCAGTATTAAGGATCAACACACTAGATTCGCTATCCATTATACAAACACCAAGATGCTTATATTATTTTTTATTCTCTCTTTAATGATTGATCGAATTATCAAATATTGTAATAGCAGCAATAGTGGTGTTAGTGATTTAAGGAGACAGTGGCATATGACTAGATATGCTTATATCAGCAATACTAAAACATGTCCGCATTTTAGCGCTAGTGAGTATATGCGTAGATGCTAAATGCAATATTAAAGGAAATCAAAACTGTGATGATATTTTTCTGTGGGTTTATTACAAACCAGTTATTTTTTGTTTTAAATCAAATGCCGAGAATATTATGTAAGGAAAACGCAAATGACAATCCGCTGTTAACATGTTAATGTTATATACATTTGATGAAGTTTCAGCAAATTTTCAGTAACCAGTATATTCTAGTACTTGGGTGCAAAAACGAGAAAATAAACAAATTAAGTATATAGCAGAACGAAGCGCAAATTACATTTTTAAACACGAGAAGCAAATAGAAAAGAAACCTATTTTTAGGTCTTAGGACTTCATAAATTTAAGCGTTCTACTAGGCTGGTATCTCGCTCACACCCTTTCACAGTCGAAAATGTTAAATGTAGACGTCTCTTCTACTCCAATAGCTTCATGTCTCGCACCTCTCGTCTGTGCAATTCCCTTCCCTTTTCCTGTTTCCCTGATAGCTATAATCATCAATTATTCAAATGTAATGTCAATCGATGCCCTGATCTATCCCCTATACTTCTCTCCATCCTTTCCTCTATCGCTCCTCTTTGCTCTCGCTCCTCTTTGCCCTAGCTCCAACTCTCTGTAACCCCTTGCGTGCTAGTGGCTTGCCGCCTTGCTTGGGGTGAAACGCTTAAAAAATGAATTAATATTTCATATAATTTACGCGCGATGTAACGGCGTATAAAATGAAATCAGATAAAAGATCAAATTCCTGCCGAATCCGTTGTGTTTATTTTTCACTGTTCTGCCATGAAGGAAACGAGTCTATCTCTTTTCCGCCTAGCTATGTCAAACTGGGCTCTCTAGGTTTGGAAACGCTACCAGTCAAGAACAATTTGAATAGGAAAACTGCGCTATCAACTAAAAAAAATTACATCATTATCTTTACAAAGAGGTTATGACACGTTCTAGATATTTAAAAAAATAAATCTGGTAGTGCTAAAATTCTCATATCGCTTTTTCACGTTATCAGTAATTCAACATAGCTGAAACATCCTCTATAATGTAACCTATTATTAAGTTATAATCTATGTGAACTCACTTTTTCCCACGTTAAGATTTACAAACTTTAATGTGAATAGTATATTGAAATGGAAAACCGTAACAAAAATATATATATATATATATATATATATATATTTGGTTGGATAGATGTGAGTTTGTGACCCTGGGTTTCACGCTTTAGCGATCGTCAGACAAACTGAGATGTAGCTCATCATTGATGAACTCAATATATATATATACAACTGAGTAGTGAGTTCATCAATGATGAGCTACATCTCAGTTTCGCTTAGGAAATCATTAGGTCACCCCGAGGCAGTGTAATGGTTAGAAAGCTTGTCTCGCTAAAACAATTACGACTGAATAGCGAGTTCGATCCTCATATTTTCGTGCCCCATACTTTCGGCCTTACTTGTTGGGCATTTCGACGTGGCGTAAGGTTTAGCAAGCTTGTCTCGCTAGACCAACTACTATTGAGTAGTGAGTTCGATCCTCACTCGGTGCCCTCTACTCCCGGACTTGTGCCACATCTAAGCTACGCTTGGAAAGTCACAACAGGGTGTTGCAGTAAAATCCGACACTTGACAAATAGAAAACGAAATAGGCAATAAAAACAAAAGTTTATTTAGCAACAGTTAGAGTTACATACGACATTATTTTTCAATGTAACCGCCGCTGGCGGCGACGACCATTTCAAGGCGGGCGCAAAATAAGTCACACGCTTTGGTGAACCATGTCTTTGTTCATAGCGGTGAACGCCTCCACGATGACAGTCTTCAAAAAGTCGACCGTGTTGTCGGCTTGCTTGTTGGTCGATCACGCCCCAGAAGAAATTGTCAAGAGTGTTGCAATCGGATGAGGAGAGCGGCCACAAGTCCGGGCGACCAGTGGTAAGGAACATTGTTGAGTAGCCACGCCTGGGTCGTCTTCGCCTTGTGTGCAGGGGCGAAGTCCTGCTGGAAGACGTAATGGCATCCGGCGGCGATCTCGTCTATCCAGGGATTCACCACGCTCCTCAGCACCTCCTGGTAGATATCAGCGATGATTCTCAGCACCTTTTGAAAGAAGAACGGCGCATTACGCCAAGGATCATGACGGAGGAGTGAAATATCGTATGCTTCACGATGTCTTTGCAGATCCACCTGTCGTTCTGCCTAACGTTAGTTAGTTGACAAAATGCCGGATATCTGCATATACAGATTTTGTTTTTATTGCCTATTTCGTTTCTTTTTTGTCAAGTGTCGGATTTTGCTGCAACACCCTGTACATACGTACACACACACTCACACACACACACACACACACACACACACACACACACACACATATATATATATATATATATATATATATATGAATATGAATGACAGAAGCTTGATTAATAGATTCTACTTATGATTATAATGATTATCTGAAAGCCATCTTGATACACCAAGAAAATAGGTATCTGCTTTATGTTTCAGTTGTTAAGCGAACAACAGATTGAATAATTAGCCCAGATGAATGGTATTTTAATGAGCGGGTGTGGGTTCATTTCTTCTTTGTGAGGGGAAAGGTTGCTACTGGAAATTGTTCTATTCATTCTGATATTTGTTGTCTTTTGCTTCCTTTTTCCTCCATTATATTCAAAGCTACATATTTTAAAATTATTAATTCCAATGTCCGTTTTACTGTAAGACTTTCCTTGTATTAGTTGCATTTTATCTTTGATATTCATAAAAAAATAGTATTATTATTATTGTTGTTGTTTTCGTTGTTGTTGCAATGTTATTGATGCTGTCGTGGCATCCCGACTTCAGTTACTTCCCCACCGCTCTAACGTAACTACCCTATGTTTTTTTAATTAAGATTTTTTTTTTATGGCAACTGTTCAAATGAGATTTCCTGTTTGGTACCTCGAATTTACAAATTGAAATGTAGTACTATATTGGCAGATAAGTCTCAATATGTTACAATTGAAATTGCTAGATATAACCATAAGTTCTATAATAGCATTTTCTTCCTTCGTCCGTTTCGCTTGTAAAACTCTCCTTCAGTAAATTAAATTTGATCTTCAAAAATTTAAATGCAGTGTCTCTTTGAATCCTGGTTTTTTTGTCCTCCCTCCTTAATAAGGATTTTCTAACGTCCTTTAACTTGCGTCTTAGTGGCTTCATCACCTACCTAGGGGTGAAATGATTTTTTTTTAAATTCTTCTTTCTCTCTTTCATTTAACTATATTCTTATGTAATTGAATTCTTCCTCTTCTTTTTTATTCTCCTATTTATTTTTCAACTGTATCATTGTAAGTCATTCTGGTGTTTGCGTCACCTTTTAATTATTTCATGAACTTTCTTCAGAGCCTTTCTTATAGGCCTCGCGTTTTCCCCCGACATGAAGTGGAACAATCAATTTCTACGTCTTCTGCAAGGAAAGTTATTTCAGTGTCGTGCCACAAAGATTTTTCGCACCAGACTCCATCTTGCACATTTATAAATCTATCATTCATCCGTGCGTTGAATAATGTTGCCATATCGGGTTCAGTGCTCCGGCTGTATATCTCAAGATTCTTGACAAGATTCAAAGAAGTGTCATTAGTGTAATCGATGCTGACCAGCTATCTCGATTTTATATTTTATCCGATGTTGTGAATTTCCTCTCTTATACAAATATTTTTCTAGCAACTGTTCTGATGAAATATTATCCTTGGTGACCATGAATTTATGCGTGCTGCTCGAGTGGCAATTAGGTCTCACCGTTTTACTGTTGAACTAGCTAGATGTAACCGCTACTATAACAGTTTGTTTTCTCGCACCCAGTTTACGAGACGCGAAAGCGAAAATCGCGTCGCAGCTCGTGATGTCACACATGACCATGCGGGAGTGAAAACGAGAATTATTAAGTATGGGAAGCTGTTGGTATAAACCAATGGCTTCTGTTATAAATTATAGTCATTTAAGAATATTTGTGTAGATTTCGTAGGTTATTTTGTTCAGGTTAGGTTTCAACTGTTTTAATTTAAGAATTTTTAGTTTTTGTTTATTGATTTCATGTTTAATTATTGTTGCGTTTTCAACAAGGATTTTCCGGAATTGTGTACGCGGCCAGGCATACACGAGTTAGTCGTTGGTTTGAAATTTTTCATGCAACAAAAACAGACTATCATTATTGTTTCGTCCGTGTATTGGTTGATATATTGAATTGTCATCTTTGATAATGGCTTATGTAAGCCGAAAGCTTAGATTGGATTTAAACATGTATCAATATGGCGATTTCCTTTCGTCTTTCAATGATAATGTTATTAAGCTTATCAGACAATATGAAAGGAACTTACTTAAAATAAATAGACAAAACTTGAGTATATTATATATATATAATTATATATATATATATATATATATATATATATATATATATATATATATATATATTATATTTATTTTAAAAAATATGATTCCTCCGCTACATAAGAGTTCTCATGTTTCAAAAACGAGAGCCGAAAACCTCAATATAATTATTAAAATTAAATTGAGTTATCAAGCCTTGTTTCATCCTCAAGCGAAAATTTAGGAATAACCAATCTTGAAATTTACGCATCTTTATAAGCATGATCATTCGCAAAATTAATTACTATAGAAACGGCTGGGGCGACCATTTTGGTAAGGGGTCTAAAAGATAAGAGTTCAAGCTGAGGGAGGGTGGGGGCATCCATTTCTAATGAAAATTTTGTCATCATCCTGGGATTTCTAAAGATGCGTAAATTTCAAGATTGGTTATTCCTAAATTTTCGCTTGAAGATGAAACAGGGCTTGATACTTTAACTCAATTTAATGTGTATGTGTTTATTGTACAATAGGAAAAGCCCATTAAAGATGGTTAATAGGTTAAACGGAAAACTCTATGTTCAAAAAAGTAATCTCTTGTTCGCACACAAGAAAAACAAAAACACATTGTAATTCATTGTTGCAATCGTGTGTTTTCGTTATTTTTTGTTTGTTTATTTTATTTTTTAGAGAAGTGAAATTAGCTCCCCTATAAGATGAGGAGAGAAAATACAAAGTCAATCGTAATCTTCTGTCATCTTGACCGCTGTTCCTTTTTTATCGTTAACTCAAACGTCCCTATTATTCTCATTGTCTCTCACTCAATTTAAGGCCATGCATCTTAGTGGCATTATCGCCTTAACGACTAAAAGAAATTTTTTAAAAATATATTAAAATATAGAAAATATATTTACTGTTATATTACTTTCAAGGAATTTAATTATTTTTGTTTACCCTTTCCTTCAAATCATTTCATTCGTTTAGTATTACTTTCACATTTAATTTTCCCCATCCTAGGTATGACGATAAACTACATACAGCAGCAAAGCCTCTTCTCGGGAGACTGGAGGTTCTGAAGATTTTGGAACTCTCTCTTAATTGTTGTTCTCAGATCCACGCAGACCTAAATAGTAGTATCTGTTAGGGTGTTAACTATGTGCAAATAATAACCTTCCAAAAAAACAAATCAACAATACATTTTTTAAAATAAAGTTACCATCATACATTTCTATAGAGAAATTACTAGCAATAACTTTAAAAAAATGATCAATAATACATTTCATCTACAAACGATCTAAAAAGCTATATACGTTTACACTGAAATTATAAAATTATGCACAAAATATTTGTAGTTTAAGGCAAAAATTTTTGTTCAAAATATTTAGATTTTGGTATTAAATAACCCGTCTATATTTCTGGATAAAGTGGATAAATAACCTGTCTATATTTCTGGATAAAGTGGATAAAGGCGTTAGTTAGAGCCAGTGACAGGACCCGAAGAGTGTGAGTTCGATACCTGGTTAAGGCGGAGACGAACTTGGAGAGGGGAATTAACAGGAGATAACTGATAAGTGACATCCCTTAAACATGACTCGTGGAACTAGAATAGTCTACCCCAGTGAGCGAAATAAAGGGTTCAGTTCGACATTCCAAGCAGCTGAAGAAGGCAGGAGGATACAACGGCCGAAACGTTGTAATAAATATGGCGATAAATATGAGGAAAATAGTCCGAATAGTTTAGTTTTCAATACGCCATAGTTTAATATGCTTCTAAACATAATCAACCAATTCATTTTTCGCAATTTTACTCCAGTTATATATCTGTTCTTCTAGTTAATTGTTTTATTTATCTCTTTCAATTCATTTATTTCTTTCGAATTCGTCTGTTTTTCATTCATTACTTTTTAAATTCTTTCTTTAACTTGCGGATTAGTTTCGTTTTATTCTATGTTTCTTTGTGATATATTTACCTACATTTATATTTTCCTATCCTTTGACATTTTTCTTTTTCCTTTTTCCTTTTCCCGTTCCCTTTTGCTATCATTTTCCTCTTCTTTGTTCCTTATTTCTTTTCGATAATTCTACATTTTTCTCTCCTGTCTGGCATCTCGTTATTATCTCCCGTGCATTCTCAGCCATCTGTTACTGCATTGACGGAATACTCCACGCTAAACCTCATCATTAACCCTGCATATAGCCAAATATTTTTTCTCGGTGCCATGAGATAAACAGACCCTAATTTCATGCGTCAATTTCTATTCATGCTAGATATTTACAAAACATACAGCGATCCGCTTCTTTTTTTTTTTTTTGTTCCTCTTGGTGTGAAATCGTTCAAATAAAGCAGGCGTATTTGTAGGAATGATGTAGGTAGTGTTTGCAAATGACGCATATTTTGATTGTTTTGCGCATGTCAATTAATGAAAGAAAAGGTTCGTGTAACTATAATGCATATATACATTCGGTGGGTGCGTGTAGTGGATGTTGTTAGCTATAGTTATAGAAAAAGATCAACTACTGGCGCTAACCGTATGTTGGTATTCGAATATCAGTTTTTAACCGTGTAAATTCATAGAATTCTTATTTAATTAAAAATGTAAATGACCAGGAAATGCTTGAAGGCGTTGATATCTATGCCAAGAATAGATAGAATAGAATAGTTACGTATGAACAGACAAAATGAATGAATGAATGAATGATATATATATATATTAAAGACATTTTTATTTAACGTTGTTATTTTATAGATACAAGTATTTAAGCAAATGCTCTGTTTATGATAAACAGTATTAAATAACATTTACCGGCCTGAATGTCCGAGAGATTTTCATAGAAAATATTCGTTCATAGAC